AAAAAAAAAAATACAAACCACCCAAGACAACAGAACACCCACCCAGACAACCCCCAAACAAATAAAATCCCTTCCTATTTACAAAAAAAAAATCTAATGTATCTCCACCTCTGCCTCTTTCCACCTATGTAAAACTTGAGCTCCTAACTTCCCACCCTCTCCAGAGTCAGCCTGTTTATTTTGGTTCTATTGTAAATGTATTTGTTGGGAAGCGGTGGATGTCAATGAACATTTTTACTGTCCTAGCTCAGACCCACCAGCTGGTGAGGAGTCGCTAGCAGCCCAGCCCAAATGCACTTCCCAAGGCCCTGAGACTCCTGTGAAAGGCTGGACAGGGGGGGCTGAGGAGACACTTTTTAAATACTGTGGTGGGGAGAGAATGACAAGTTTCTGAAGTGAAATGTGAGAGAGGGGAAGGAGGGGTTAACCTGCACACATTAGATCCTCCAACCAAAGCAAAGCAGTCAGCTATTAATCATCAGAAACCTTATATGCACATCTAATGGGATTTGCAGATGGAGACTTTTTAAAGAAACATTGTATGTATTTTTTTTTAAAGGAGAGAGAGCAGCAGCACACACAGAAAGTCTTTCATGTTTCCCTGTAACACTATTAAGTTATTTTTATTGCACTGTTAACAAAATTCCCCAAGTCTTGGATTTGGAAAAAGCCTTAAACCAGATCCAGAATCCATCCGATGCCAAATTCCAGGAATAAGAAGCAACAGACAAGCTTGCTGACTGCATTTGATTTAAAGGCCGTTCTCATACAGACTTCAAAAGTCAAAATTATTTCTAAGTGATTTTGCCCTAGTCTTGATAGAGGACCATGGTTTAACCTACATATAAAAACAGAGTTGTCGAAACCCCAGAACAGTGCCATCCTTCTCTGCCCTGTGGAAGATTCATTCACTTTCTCAGCAACTTGGCACAAGAATCGATCCCTTCCTTCCTATCAATAGACTCTGGCATTCTCCCTGATTTGCTAAGGCATCCTTTTTAGGGCTGGTTCTTCCTCATACTAATAGGACTATGAGAAATTTCCTACATCCTAATGGAAGGTGTTCTCTGCGTCCATACTGCCTTCCTTCTCCAACTTCCCCATCTTCTCGGGTCCCCCCAGCCTTGCCTTTTTTTGACCATTGCCATGGTCAATGCTTTTTACCATCTGTGATGGAAAAGGGAGGGGAAAGACCTGACTTCTCCAAAGGAGTTATCTTTGGCAAAAGAGTTATAAATTGTGTCCAGACTATTGCCTATAATATTAATATGAGCTCCTATCTTCTAGCCAGAATATGACTGTGGGTTTTCCCATCCTATCATCTACTCACCTTAGGGATGAATTTCTTGGACTAGCTGGTAACCAAGATCTGAGATCTCCTGGAGAGATATCACTCCCTGAGTGATATTTCAATCAAGTCCATCATTTCATATAATCCTCCATGCACTGCAGCACTCCTGAAAAGTTATTGTAATTTCTTGGAGAAATAACAATCCGAACACATGGGGAACAGAACTTTTTTCCTACTAATGAGAAGCTGGGTGGCTGGTGCCATCTGGAATGTCTCCATGGACCAAAGCAATAGGATCTGGGTGCAGACAATGTCGGCAGAACCAAGTTTGTAGACTAGTCTTTTAACTTTGTCTCTGCTGCTATCATGGAGACGTAGGGATCCCCCAAGCTGGGAGCTCCAGGGATCTTAGCGCTGTGGCCTGACAGTAAAATCTATGGAGAGGGTGGGGAAGGCCTTCTCATTTGGCAGCCTTTGGCAGAGTTGGGTGTGAAGTCATATCTTTTAAGGCAATATGGAAGCTTGAGTCAATGACTCGATTAACAGGTATTGAGCACCCAGCGTGTAAAGGGTACTGAACAACACTGTATAATGAGTATGTGTATGTGTGTGTGTGGCGGGGTGGGGGAGGATGCATGGTATTGTAAAGGTTCACACTTGTAAAGCTTAGGTAAGAAAAAGACATCATTGTTTTTCTCTGGGACCTAACAACTTCGTCTGGAAATGGGACATACCTAAATGAAAAAGCACTTTATCATATTAATATGGTGTAAACTGAGTGTTTTAGGACTAAGGGGACCCAGAGTAAATATGTGACCAGAGGCAGGCAAAGCTCCTCGTGAAAGGCTTCCTGGAAGGAAATGACTTTGGAAGGAGATGAGGGGCATGGGTTGGTATCAAGGAAGTGGAAAGGGAATTCCAGGACGTGAGAATGACATATATAATAGTGCAGAAGGGGTTGGAATTCCCCCCTCATGAAAGAGAGCTGCAAAGAAGTATGTGGTGAATTCAGGTGAGACTTTGATTCAAAATCTCTGCCATTTACTTAGTTATATGATCCTAGGTTAGTCACTTAATCTTTCTGAGCCTCAGTTTCCTTAGCTATAAAATGGGGATAATATCTGTGCTACCAATCTATCTTAAAGGGTTGTTGTGATCCAGAATCAAATGAAATAATCTATGTCAATTGCTTTGAAAACCCTGTAACCCTACATAAATGTCAACTATTATTATTGTTAGATAGAACTTGTGGTTTCACTGGTATGGGGCACTGCCAGTGAGAAAATACCTCTACCAACCGTAGATCAGCACTGGCAACTCTTGGAGGGTTGCCTGTGGCTGCCAAGAGATTAAGTCTGTTGCCCAGGGTCACATAGCCAGTCTGGATCAGGGGTAGAACCTGAACACTGGTTTTCCTGATTCCTGATAGGCCAGCTATCCATTCATTATTGCCTCTGTTATTATCATCATTGTTGTTGTTACTGTTATAACTGAACACACCTAGAGAAAGTTCAGGACCATTCCCTGGAAGCAACAGAATACCTTAAGCTTATTAGGCTATCGAGGACTTGAGTATAAAGACCTGTCTCCCTCTGCCTGTTAGCTTCATGGGCCCTTCCACAATCTCTGGACAGTTAGTCCCTTTTATGAGATAATAAAGGTGTCCTCCTCTGATCTGCTTTCTCCTTGTTGGCTTCTTCTAATGTAGCTTTTCCTGGTTGGAATAGGCCTAAAGAGCTGAATATCTCCCACCCCAAACATACCTGTCATCAGGGCTATGAACATCTCTGCTGATTCCAGGTCCAACATTCTACCCACTATATCACACTGCTTCTGAGGTTCTGAATCTTAGCCTGTAATAATAAACCACATGATTGTTGTCCATTCTAAAGGAAGAAAGAGGGAAAGGGGAAGTCCAAGGGAATCGTATCAAATTGTGAGCTCTGAAAGCCATCCTTGGGAAGGTGGAAAATAAATGCTACTGGACAGCACAGGAAAGCCTTTCAAGATCAGGCTCATTGGTCCAGGAATGGCTATGATTGGATCCTTGACCTGGGCATGAGTGGCTGGTTTGCCCAGAGTACACAACCACTACCCTAAGTCGTCCAGAATGGTCCATCACTCATAAATACCCTTCTTTGCTTTCTCTTTCTCCTTGCGGCGTGGCTGCAGGGCTATGAAATGGGATGTGAGTGGTGGGGTGTATGGAGAAGAGGTAGGTGGGTAGAGGGCAGTGCTCTTGGTGGTGAGAATGTACTGGCCCTGCAGCCCCCTGACACTCTCAGCAGCTGCCTGTGTCTGTCAGCCACCCTTCGGGGGGGTTGTTTGCCCTCTACATCTTCCTGACAGTTGACTCTTCTGAAACCAGAAAAAAACAACAATTCCTCCTTGTCACTGAAACCCATTTGTTAGATGCTGCTGGGGACTGGCACCTTTAACCTTCTTAAAGTCAACATTTCCCTTGTCAATATCCAGGTCTGGATAAGAGGCCAAGATGGATGGAAAACAATTGTTTGCAAAAGAAACCCTTTAGTGAGACCAACAAACTGAAGTAGGGATTTCCAAGAAAGGAGCTATGGATGCCAAATCCAACAATTCCACTTTGTTATGGCCATGGGGGGGAAGGGAGAAGGGAGTCAGTAAAGTGGGACCACGGCCTAGGTTCATCCTGGTGAATCATCATGGTATAGTGACACAAATATGAGTTATGAGTAACCAGAGAGCAGAAGGTGATGAATGAATGAAGGTGAGGGAAATGGAAATGATAAGCATATGGGTCCAGAAGCATAGTTTCCAAGGAGTTCCCAGGAACTTGACAGCATTTTCTCAAAAGTTCTTTGCCAACCTTAAAGCACCATATTAAAGTAAGCTAATATTATTATTGATTGTGCACAATTGATTATCATCATAATCATTCAGTCAGCAAAGCCAGGGCTCAGGGTAGGTGAGTGGGCTGCAAAACATTGTAAATATGGAACCTAGAAGAAGAACTGGAATAAGGATGTCAACAATGAAATGCATGATTGGAAAAGAAGATGGGCTGGTCGTGTGGCAAGAGTAATGGATAATCAATGGACAACCCATGTACTTTGCTGACTTTGTGATGTCAAGAAGAAGCAAGAAAGGTGTCCAGCACATTGGGTGAATTCCATGTAGCAAAATTATGGGAAGGCATAGTCAAGAGTCACCGAGGATGGGCAGGTGTGGATGAGTTGTAATCTGTATCACTGGAGGGAACAACCATATTGATTAGATTTTGGATCCCTTGAAGTAGTTGGATAAGAATAAGATGGGTCAGTGAGGTGGCAAAGTAGATAGAGGACTGGCCTTGGAGTCAGGAGTTCAAATCTAGTCCCAGACACTTACTAGCTGTGTGACCCTGGGCAAGTCAGTTAACTCTATTTGCCTCAGTTTCCTATTCTGTAAAATGAGCTGGAGAAGAAAATGGCAAATGGGGTCACGGAGAGTCAGACATGACTGAAACAACTCAACAACAAAAGTATAACAATCCCTTATATTTCTGTCCCCTAGGTAGTGCAGTGGACAATGCTGGGCCTGGAAACAGGAAGACCTTGGTTCAAACCCAGCTTCAGACCATTACTACC